GGTTCGCTTTTGTTTTCGGGTGGTTGTGACCATTCGATTGTGGTGTGGGGGAGAGAAAACAACGGTGATCAGATGGTGTTTGTGGAAGCATTGCGGGGTCATACAGGAGCTATATTGTGTTTGATCAATGTTGATGATTTGATAGTGAGTGGATCAGCTGATCGAACGGTGAGGGTTTGGCAGTGTGGGGAGAATGGTTATCGTTGTATTACAATCTTAAAAGGGCATGAAAAACCAGTAAAATCGTTGGTAAACATCAAAAGAGGTGGGTGCAACGGTGTCGTCTCGATTTGTAGTGGTAGCCTTGATGGAGAAATTAAAGTGTGGGAAGTGCGGAAAAAGAAGCTGAACAAGAAGTCCCTTTCAAATGTATTTGTAATTAAAAATAGTTAACCAAAGAAAAAGAAAAGTTAAAATAATTAATTAATTTGCTAGCTTGTTGAATATATACAATGAATGTAGTTTTGTATTCAATCATATGATTTGAATTCATTATTAATTTTAAACCTTCTTTCCCACGAGTTAGTGCATGTAAAAAACTTCATCCACTAATTTACTCCATAAATGGTGAACAAGTTTTCTTTTTTTACTCCACAGACATGTCTTCTAAAGAGCAAAGTGGGTTTCAGCCTGTCTTGTTCGAAGAAACTCGTAAAAAAAAAGTTGCATCACATGCAGTCCACTGCAGTCATGCTTAAGCTAGGTTGGTGCTCCTACTATTATATTATATTTCATAGTGAGAGATGAAGAATTTTATATTTGCTCCAACAAATTATTGCAAGAGAGCTAGGTTGATGATGATCATGTTGTCAAATTTGATGGTTCAGAACTTAGATTGCTGAATAAAGCTAACTACTGGTCAGCTTTTCCAACATTTACGTTCCTGATTAGTGGGGAGCAACTTTCATTAATTATATCTTACAAAGCTATGAGTCATGCCACTTTTATGTTTTAACAATCCTCTATTTTGAGTTTTTTTCCTTTTTGTTGCGTAAGTGCTGGTGTAATTTGTAGACTTCTCAAATAGAACTTGTAACAGTGAGTTCAGCATTTCAAAGGTAAATCCTGGTTTTTTTTACTCTTAAAAGTTAAAAGGTTTAATAATTTGTTTCAGTCATGGTTCCTGGTTGTAGCCTTCAAGTTCCGTATAAACGACTTTTTCCCACTCAAATAATGTATTAATAACATTTTTTCACTGACTTTTAAAATACCACTTTACTACTTAAATTTATATTCTGTTTTCGATTTTGGCATCGTTATGACCTCACACCACCACTATTTTCTTTCTCAATCATTACTCACAAAACCCCTCAAACTCTACTCCTGGCGACCCCGCTAATCACTGGCAACCGAATGATTAGGGTTTGCACAACCGCCTCTTCCAAGTCAAATTCTAATAAATCTCAACCATCAAAATCCAACTTTCTACTATCAAAAGACTCATCGGTCTCCCCTCTTCAAAATACCCAACAACCTAGATCGAGTTTATTCTCTATTCACCGTTGGAATATAAATTTGGATAGTAAAGTGATATTTTCGAAGTCAGTGGATAGAAAAAAGTCATTAAACTATTATTTGGATGGAAAAAAAATCATTAACTCTCAAGTTCCATATTACCAATCTCCTTAAGAATGAATCGCATGTGCATGTGTGGTTTAGTGGCTAAGGATTAATGTATCCAACAACCAATCTCATTTCTTATTGAATGAAAACCATCCAAAAAATTATCTGTTTCTAAATCAACACGACTCTCACGTAATTTGTTTAATAACTAAGTAATTTTTTTTTCCCTAAATATTCTTCTTGGATTACCTAAAGATACCTCATTTTATCATTATAATAATTATATGCATACCCCAAGACAGATTTGTGACAGCAATAATCTATGCTTTAAATGTAAGAGGCTCCATCATCAACATAAAATAATAAAATGTATGATGATTCGTGATTTTCTGAATAATGCTGTCTTACCTGCATCCACCAACAACCCAAACTGCCTCTACCGTTCTTTTATTCACAGTGGTATATCTAGAGAATACTTCCACTCAGTTGTCTTTTTATGTTCATGTTCAAAGTCTGAACCAATAAGCTTCGGCTTCATCATAGCACCAACAGTTATACCTTGAATTGTGCGTATGTGTGCAATATGTTTTGTTGTTTTCCTTCTTTGGATAAGACTTCAAAGAGAGACCTCGAGCTTATTTTTAACATCCATATATACCTTGCCACTATTTCGAGGATCTACACTCACAAACGAGTCCCCAGCTTAATCTGGTATACTGGTACAAAGGAGATGTGCCCTTGATGTCAATCAACAATTTATTCACTGATGGAGAAATGCCTTGTTAAAACAGAGTAATTCCAGGTAATTGTTAGTTAAATGATCAATATTTTCTCACTTAGGAGATGTTATATTGGGATCACAACAATACAAGTATGCCCGCAAAAAAAGCAGAATCAACCTTCATTGAAGCGATTGAAAGTGAAGGTCCAAGCTGTTTATCTAGATCCCAGACTACTGTGAAGCATCATATATGAATATGAACATATTTAAGTCACAAATTCTAAAAACACGTTTGATTGTCATCAAAACAATCACTAATCAAACTGAAATCCCCTTTCATAGACAAGGAGTGATAATTGATGGCGATTTTGTTTAAATAGATATTTTATCAAACTACCCCAAAATGAAAAAATTCAATACTACAACAGAATATCAGCTAAAGATGTTGGCATTCATAGGGGTTGATTAAATCAAAATTTTGTGATAGTGACTACGAGGCTACGACATGACAAAAACCATGAAGAAAAGGATCATATGTCACAGAGAGTGATAATTGATGGCGATTTTGTTTAAATAGATATTTTATCAAACTGCCCCGAAATGAAAATATTCAATACTACAACAGAATACCAGCTAAAGATGTTGGCATTCATAGGGTTGATTAAATCAAAATTTTGTGATAGTGCCTATGAGGCTACCACATGACAAAAACCATGAAGAAAAGGATCACATGTCACACAATGCACCTTGCTATTTAACTCTCCAGCTTACTGTGTAAAGGCAACTTTAGAAAAAAGTAAATAATGGAAAAGTGGTATATTTTCACAGTGATTCCCTTTTACATGGATAACAACCTAAAATTTAAAATTTCAACTAAATAAAATGTATTTAAGTCAACTATAGAAACCAGTATTTCCATCTCTCTCTGTTTACAAACCATACACTCAAATTAAATCAAAGGCCATGGTAACTTTTATCCCCACCTAAACCACATTCCGGTTTCTATCTCAAGCATCGTCATTGGAACCCTTCAACCGGAACCATTTGCACCTCCTAAAGGAGATGATAGGCTATGTTGAAATGGCAAACCTAATATTACTCCTGTCAATCATGTGCCAGTTGGTTCTACTTCAACCTTATCTCAACTTATGTCATTCCACAATTCGGCACATATAGTCTCAACAATCTTAACTTTACCAATGCATACTAAATTACAAGTTTGTTCTTTAACTAGCCAGAATCTATATTACAGACTCTAGCACTGAGGAAACAAACTTCTTCAAAGTAAAGAACTAATCAGAACAAGTAATCAAATCTACATAGAGAGAATAATCAACTACACATCTCATTCCCGGTTAAGAAAGGCTAGAAAACAACCCAATATATGACTAAATCTAGGAGTTTGAAGTAATTATTGTAAGTCATCAATAAGCATATATCAATATAATTTTCTGACACTAAAATCACTCAAAACTCAACAATATTTAGTGTGCTCAACAAAGTAATATCTATTTAACATAAAAAAATAAAGCCTATGAGCCGAGCAGGAAAGAACAGCATATATGATATATGTCGATAATTTTGATTCCTAGCAGCACATTCACAATAAGAATGTTATTCTAACTATGCAATTCTATATCGTGATTGTAAATAAAATACCTACAAAGTTAATTGCGTAAAACATATTATGTGAGCTCAAAGACATGAATTCCGCATCAAGATTTCTGAAGAAGTCCCCAAATTTATAATTAAATGACTTAAAAGATTACTATAAACTAGTCCAAAACAAAAATTGTCCCAAGGAGACTTTGATGGAAAAGCACCACTAAAACACGAAATCCTCACCTAATAAGCCTAAGTTTTTCGCCTCAGACGCTTCCTAAGCTTCTTGTACTTATGCTTATTCATCTTCTTCTTCCTCTTCTTCTTCACACTATCCGCCCAAATCGTCCTGGCATCATCAGTCTCCACTTCTTTCTCGGCCTCAATAACCTTCAATTGATCAAACCCACATGAAGAAATCGGATTCAAGCAATACCCAAAAGGGAAACTAGGGAAAAATTGCAATTTTTGAGTAGAGACGGCACTGTCTGTTGTTGAAGGATCTGAAAATAATATGGGGTTGTTTGTGTTAATAAGAGGAGGTGTGAATTTCGGGAAATTTAAAGGGATTTTGTGACATGTGAAGATTCTTAGATTTGATTTGTTTCTACTGAGTTTCTGAAATAGATTAGCCATGTTTTGAGAGGAAGGAGGATCGAGGTTTCATACAAAAGCCAATGCAAGTAAAGAGCTCAAGAGAAGAGTTAATACACAGAAGTTTAGTGTTGTTTTTCAAGTCTAAGTTTAGTTAATGAGTTCTGGATGGACCGAGGTAAACGATGTCGTTTAGCGACTGACAAGGTTAGACGACAGCCTGTAACAGTACAAAATTAAAAATGTAAAACTACAGCGTGTGACATACAAAATAAAAAAATAGACGGAGAGAAAACGGTCCGTTCAAAAAAATTAACGACAGCGTGTAACAATACAAAATGAAAAAAATGCCCTCACGCAGGATCGAACTACGGACCTTCAGTTTACAAGACTGACGCTCTACCACTGAGCTATAAGGGCACATTTGTTAGTTTATAATGACAAAAGTTTTTCTTAATTCAATAAAACATCATACGCAGAAGAGTTAGATGTGCTTTCAATTTCAGCTTTGCATCGACACAAGTTGTTCACTTCATAGTCAAAGGCTCGAAGCTTCACCAATGGAGGCCGACACTTTTGATCCTGTAAGGCTTCCAATTCCATACCTTTTACTGATAATTTCTTCCGAATTAATGTGTATAATATATTAAAGTGAATTTTGTACATTAAATAATTTAGGATTTAATTCATGCGATCTTTAAGCAAATATGGACCAGAAGATTTCTAGGTTTGTAATTCTCACTCTTTTTTCTCCTCCTTTCCCTTTCTATCAACCCCATTAATTCTTCACCGTTATAGAGCGTGAAAGGAACGGTGGTAATGATGCTACGGACTGCGAGGTACTATTTGTTTATATCAATTTATATATTTTTTTTTATTTTTAGCTGTAATTGGTCTCTAAACAAATATAATTGGATCAGGTAGGAGCTGGGACATCCAAGAAAAATCGGCCCACTTCTGGTAACTCTTATCATTGTTATTTTGTTTCGTTGAATACTTGTTGAATGGTAACCAAGTTTGATTGTTATTTCTCTATGTTAATCTTCTTATGATGCAGCTAATGCAAATGCGGTGAAGCTGAGTTGTGAACTTCTCCGAGTATTTGTTACAGGTTTGCTTTAATTGGTTGAATTCGTTGTTTTCTTTATAAGGCTAAAATTTGCTGTGTTATAGCATTTTGTTCAAGTCCTTTGTCTTAATGCAGAGGCTGTGCAACGTGCTGCTGCAATTGCCGAAGCGGAGGGTGTCATTAAGGTTGAAGCCACTCATTTGGAGAGGATTCTTCCTCAGTTACTGCTGGATTTTTGAGCTACAATGGTACTCGAGCACAAACTTTACTAAGGTCTCTTATTTGCTATGCTTATGAAATTGAAAGAGGATTTTTTTATTCGTAAATGTAATATTGGAGAGTCAAGAACGTTTTCATCCGGTTCAGTTTCATGTTTTCTACATATATGGTTTGTAAATTTATTAATTGAAATTATGATTTCTCAACCTTCTTTGTTTGTTGTAAATTATATTGTGTTAATATGGTTAAATCATTTTGGAGTTATTTGTTGTAGTTTCTCTGCTAGTGAGACTTAAAATTTCTTAATATTTTCTTATTGATGCTTTAGATTCCTACCTTTAGTATTTCACAACTGTATTACAGCTTCAGAGTTTTTATGAAAAGAGGTCCTCTGAGTCTACAATGTTTTACTGCTTTCGAAATTTTCCATTTGTATGGAACTTCTTCAGTTTATTTCGGGTCTGTTCTTGGTTCTGGATACAAAAAGGTAGGTTAGAAACAATGAAATTTATGTGGTGTGTTGACAAGGATTATTTCTAGTTGATATCATAGAAATATAGGGTGAGTTGATAGCACCACTATTATTAATCTTTATCCTTCTTTATATGGGTCTGTTTTTCAGGGCTTGATTATTGTCATCTTTTTATTTTTTATTTTTTTTGGGTAAGGATCCAATGATCCTTGTTATTTTTAAGTTGTGTAAGAGAAGTTCATACGCCTAGAGTCATTCTAATCATGAGAGGGGGTTTGTTTATCTTCTAGCTATTAAGTCTGATAATTGAACTCCATGGATATTTTGAATGAGGAGCTAGCTTTTCCTCTGGTTGATTTAGAGCATCTGCTTTCTGCAGAAGTTCTTCCTCGCCATTTCTCATCTTGCATTCTCGTATTGGGTAACCCAATTTCATTTGCATGTGAATTACGGGCATCATAATTTTGGTTCTGACTTTCTCTAGCACCATGTTGTTTACCATGTCTATATTGTTATCAAATAAGTGGATAAATAAGCAGGCTAGAAGAAACTTGTTTGGGAGTTTACAAGTCTCTACCATCCTGAACACTCTTTGCGAGACTGTCAAAGACTTAAAGGTGTAGAAGATTAAGCTCTATTATCGTCAGGTACTAAAAATTATTTGGACTTTTCTGTGGAATAATAGGAAAAGACTTGAAAAGTAGAAACGTGAAATTGATTGGTCCCTTCCCAGAAGACACGTTTTCTCTGTTTTTCTATTTTTTTTTAATCCATAATAAATGAAAAAACTCACATGGATGACGGAACTTTCACTTTCACTTTCACAAAATTTTGATTGAAATTTCTTTACAGAATGAACTATTGACCTTGGGGATTGGTTTACTGCAAAGTGCCAGTGGATTTTGCAATAGTTCCTTTGCGAAATGAAAGGCTTGATGGTGATGCCATAGTAGTTGGCTAGTGTGAAGTGATTAATTAACCACTTTGGAATCTGTAGAAGACCCTGCTAAATTTCGCAGTCGTCCACCCTTTGATGAAGAAATGAACGTAATATTGAAGGGAACCAATGACTTCTAAGCATTAAAGGAGCGTGTATGACCCGTGTTCGGTGTTTCTGTGTGCAGCTATTTTCTTGGTCTTTGTAGTGCTACTTCTTTGTGACAAAATGATGATACCTATTTTACCAGTACACCAAAAATTAATTATTTGGAAAGTCGGTGGTATAGTTTATTTAATAAAACTTATGAAAGTAGAATTTGTAGTGAAGCTTTTACGAAATATTTGATAGTTGTTTGATTAGAAAGATGCAAAAAGAGTGTTTTTGTTAAATTAAATATACAAAATAGTAAAAGATATTTTAAAAATTTTAATATTTTAAATAAATTCAGATATAAGTTATGGTAGAAGCTCAAATTTTGCTTTTTTTTTAAATCTTATAAATATTTTAGAGATGCAGTAAAGCAATCTGATTTTTTTTTTTTTTTTTTTTTTTATTTTGGTTAATAAATAAGTTGAATCTAACTTTTAGTCTCAAAAGATATGTGCCTTTTTCCTCAAAAATACATTGAACTTAGTTATAAGTAATACTAGATTCACAATCCAATCTCATAACCTCCGATGTGGCAGTTTGAAATTAATCAGTTCGTAACCAATTGTGAACTGTTATGCCGAGGGTTATGAGATTGAGTTGTGGATATAACATTACTTTACTTAACGTGCTACTAGTTCTGCAAAGGTTTATGAACTTTTGCCCTCAAGGCATTACAATGCTTCATGCTTGTTAAAAGAAGGGGATATAATTGGTTGTCAATTTGGAAAGGAAAATGTTACACTTGCAATCTCTTTTCACATACTTTCTCTCACAACCCTGACGTGATTGTTTGTAATTGGTTAGTTCGTAATGGGTTCTTCTTAGATCCCACTTTAATAAATTATAGTTGATCAATTATAAGCTGTCACGTCATATTGTGGGTGTAACATTACTTATTTGAAAGTAAATCTTGTTATTATGGAAACGATGGACCGCCCCACACATACAGGCCATAATAGGGAAAAAAAAAATGATATTGATACTAATTACCTTAATATATGTAACTGAATTTATAGAGGAAAAAGTAAAAGAACTCCAATCATATGAAAGAAGTATGTTATAACTTTCTGCAACGATACACAAGTTCAGAAAAGGGTAATAATTATACATCTTACAGACTTGGATCAAACCAAAGGCATAGGATGTTTATCACATGTTGCCTTATTCTAACACATCTTGAGAAAACATTCCCTTGCATAATTAACTAATTTTTCTTAATTTGGGACAACATGCACCGAACATCTTTACTATTGGGCCTGTCCTTAGGATTGTCTACAGTGCAAAAGCATGCGATCTTTAAGATCAAAAGCATTTGTTCCTCAAACCCATTGCCCAACAGCTTGGAGTCAATCGCTTTGTTAGGATTTTCGGAAGTCATTACATTTCTCATCCACTTCACCAAGCTCATCTCTTCTGTATGCTGGAAGAACTCATCAGAAGGAAGTTTTCCCATCACCAAAACTGCTAGCAACACCCCGAAACTATATATGTCACACTTGTCAGTGAATTTCAATGTCTGGTGATACTCTGGAGCTATGTAACCCACAGTTCCCGCCAAATTTGAAGTGGTGATATGTGTTTGAGCATCAGGCATTTGCTTTGCAAGCCCAAAATCAGCGATTCTTGCTTCCATATCATCATCCAAAAGCACATTTGCGGGTTTTAGATCTCTATGAATAATGCGCGGGCTATGACTTGTGTGAAGATATTCAAGTCCAGCTGCCACACCCAATGCGATCTTGTGTCTAGTTTGCCAATCTAATTCTCTGTTGCCTTGAGAAACATCATTCAAAATATCTTGTAAACTTCCATTTTTCATAAATTCGTACACAAGTAAATGACAGTCAGGTCGAGATATATGAGCCAACAAAGGTATAAGGTTTCTGTGCCTAATTTGCCCAACAGTATTGATCTCAGACCGAATTTGCCTCATTTTCTTGTTCAATAACTTGCTATCTTCATCAGTCAACTCTGCTGCATCCTTGGGAGGCTGAATAACCTTTTTAATAGCAATCATCTTGCCATTGCTTCCTGGTAACTCAGCCTTGAAAACTTGTCCACACCCACCTGATCCTATGATTTCCAAAGAAGCCAGACCATCATCTTTTTCCAGGAAAGCCAAGTCTTCAGCTTTCTTTATTAATGGACTGTATATTGCTGGACCAGAATCTCTACCTCCACCTTTAATCGCTGCCAAGATTAACTTAAACAACACCGAAAAGACAAAACCAGAAATGGTACCTGCTAGTGCTCCGGCAAGAAATCCTAAAATCCATCCACTTAGCTTCCTTTTACTGTTTTTTTTGTGCTTGGGAGTTGATGGTGATGGACTAGGAACTTGAGCACTAGAATCGTTTTTTTTTGAACCTGGAGCTGGAGCCGGACCCAGAGAATTATTCCTTCCTGTAGTTGGAGCCTCAGCTAAAATGTACCTTTTTGGATACTGAATCGATGAGGATCCAGTTTTGCTTATCACTGGTACTGGACCATCAAGGAAATTATTTCCCGAGAAATCAAAGTGTTGGAGGTTGCGAAAAGACCGTATAGAAGGTGGAATTTTCCCGGAAAAAAGATTGTTTGCGACAGAAAGATATTCCAAATTTGGAAAATATTTCAAGAAATTCAAATTCCCAGAAAATTTATTCCCTGAAAGATCAAGAACTCGAAGCCGTATCAACGAAGACAAATTTGCTGGGATTTTACCAGAAAATTGGTTGTTCTGGATGTCAAGAGTTTCAAGTTTCTTGCAGTCAACGATCTGGGGCGGTAGCTGGTCAACCAAAGAGTTGTTAGCTAGAGACAACTGTTTGAGCTCTGAAAGCCGTCCAATTGATGGAGAGACAAACCCAGTAAGGCCCTTAGAATTGAAAAGGAGTCTAGTTATCTTCAGGATGTAGGTGTTATTCTTTGAGAGCCTCCTCTCACAAAAAACACCGGCGGTGTTGCATGGATTAGTGGAAATGAGGCGTTGACTGTCGCTGATGTCGAAGTCTTTAAGGATAATGGAGAGGGCTCTGTAATCAGAAGGACCAATACTGAGTTTTGCACGACTGAAGATGAGTAAAGAGAAGAAAGTGAAAAGAAAGAGGGGGAGTTTAGGCGGAGAGAAAGCCATTGTTTTTGGTGGCAACGCTTGCTACGATGAATAATTCAAGAGCTGTTTGATTGATGGGTTGGTCTTAGTGTTTTAACATGGAAGATTTTTATAAGCAATACCGCGTGGAAAAAACATGGCTGTGGAGCCCATTCTTGTTGAATTTTCAAATTTCTTTCCGGTAATTTGCCTTTCGCACAGTAAACTTGATTTTTTGAGGGTCATTTTTTCTCACCTAAATTTCTTATATATATATATATATATATATATATTTCAATAACTTCAGTTCACCTTATAAATTCTTAACCTGCAGGTTCAACAAACAACAATGATTTTTATTAATAGAATAACAGGTAGACAAAAAAAAGTTCATGTATATACAATGTGTTTAATGTTTGCAGAGCAGAAAGCAGGAAGAAAGATGAGAAGAAGGGTGAATAAGGATATTGAAAAGTGTTTTTGGTCCTGAAGAAAATTAAAATTATTACAGCTCGCTGTTTTTTCTCTCAACGTACTCCACGAAGATGAAAATAAGTTGAGTTTTGGAAGCTACTGCGAAGTTTTCCAAGTCAATACCCCTTATAAGGGTTTCGGCCACCCAAGTCAACCATTAAGTGTCCAGGTCTGCTGCCAATTGTCAGCCCTTGGATCATATCATAGTTTCCATCTTTTGAGGTTGACCTGAGATCGATTGATTGGTGGTAAAATTAAACAATATTTTAACTTAAAAGTTCTTGGTTCATTTTGAGTACTCTAAATTAAAGTTGATATCACCAAAAAATCCAAGTTATTGATGGTAAGTTTCCAAATTATTCAGAAAATCTAAGGCTCTGTTTGATTCACATTTTTACATTTTTGGGAAATTTTTTTTGAAAAAAGTTAAAAAAAAGTTGGCTTCGTTTGGTTGCATTTTGGGAATACTACTTTTAGTATTCCCAAAAAAGTTAAACAGTAAAATACCCAAAAACCAGAGTTTTTGGGAATACTACTCTCAATATTATTCAACTTTTATTAAACCCCTTAAATTTGTTAATTTAATTAAATACTTCTAAATATTTTTTAAAAAATTGTAGAAACACCCCAGTAATCCACATTTACCAGATTCCGGTCACCACTGCAGGAAAATGGTCGGAATCTGGTAGGATGGCACACTACCGGCTGAATCTAGCCGGTAGTATGCCGATCTAGCCTTTTCTGACCAGATCCACGGTGGATCTGGCCGGAAAAGGTCGGATCTAAGGCCAAAGATATGGCCGTAACAGTCGGTAACGACGGCCAACAAACGGTCGTCGTTGACCATCAATGAAGACCGTTTGTTGGCCGTCGTTGACCAGCAAATACGGCCAGATCTGGCCATAGATCTGGCCTTTGCCGGCCAGATCCATGGTGGATCTGGCTGGAAAAGGCCATATCGGTGCATGACCGTCAAGATCCAGCTGGTCATGTGTCGATACGGCGACTCCGGCCACCTTCTGGTGGTGGTGGCTGGCTGTCCGTATTTGAGGGTGGGTTGGAGGTGTTTTTGTTAACTTTTAATGTTTTATTATAGGGGGTGTTTTGTAAATAAACAAACATAGGAGGTATTTCAGTAAATTTATAAATCCTACATCGTAATACCCGTCCAATTCAACTTTTTTCAAAAAACTTTTCCCAAAAACACAAAATTGTGAACCAAACAGAGCCATTGAATTGGACGGGTATTACGATGTAAGATTTATAAATTAATAAATACCCCCTATGTTTGTTTTTTTACAAAACACCCCTATAATAAAACATTAAAAGTTAACAAAAACACCCCCAACCCACCCATCAAATACGGACAGCCGGCCACCACCGCCGGAGGGTGGCCAGAGTCGCCGTATCGGCGCATGACCTGCTGGATCTTGCCGGTCGTGCGCCGATCTGGCCTTTTCCTGGCCGAAAAAGGCTAGGTCGGCGCACTACCGGTAAGATCCAGCCGGTAGTGTGCCAGCCTACCAGATTCCGACAGTGGTGGCGGGAATCTGGTATAATGTGGGTTTAGGGGTGTTTTTACAATTTCGAAAAAAATATTTAGGAGTATTTAATTAAATTAATAAATTTAGGGAGTTTAAAAAAAGTTGAATAATATTGGATAATATTGTGAGTTTTTGGGCCTTTTATTGTTTAACTTTTTTTGGGAATACTAATAAGAGTATTCTCAAAAACCAACCAAACGGAGCCTAAGAGTTTATCAGGCACTTAACTTAAATAATATAATAATTAATTATATTAAACTATTAAGTGACAGAAGAATAATTATTTTTGAGTGACCAAGTGGTTCGATAGAAACACTCTTAGGTGTATTATTTAAAAAGTTTCGAGTTTGAATATGTCCCCAATTGGTAGTTATTAGAGCTTTTACTTAGTTGATAGTTTTAAAGTCTCGAGTAATTAGTTAAAATACGCATAAATTGGTTCGGACACCCCGGTCACCAAGATTAAAAAAAAAAAAATTGAAAGAAGAATTTAGGAGACACATGAGACGCATTTCATTAATATATTTACTTGTCAATTGTCATATTAAAGAATAGGGAGGACTAAGACAATGACTCAACTAAAGTAAGTAAACGTCCCTGTGGGATCAGCTTTGCCGTTTTATTAGGGCAAGACTTGGGAGTTGGGACGATATGGAGGAAAGACTTGTCTGTATCTTGAAATTTTTATGAAGGGCAGGTCCACAAACTACAACATCCTTACAATTTCTCAGCTACTCGGTTTGTAACATCAAACGACTAGTCTGTTTTACTTAGACTTTTGATAAATTATTAAAATTGAATTTATAAATATTTTATTTCATTAGATAGTGAATTAATTAGTTTGTTAATTTTACTTCATTTTATATGATATTTTAGTCAAAGAAATGGGATTAGAATATGCCTGAACGTATTTGGGTTGATGCGCAATATCGTTGAATTGGTCTTTCTTTTGAAAATGTTCTTAAATAGAATGGTCGTTTTCCACCGTTTCTGTTGGGCTGCAATGTTTTATATATACAATCATATTTACATCTATTGTTGTTACGTCTAAAATAAGGGCTAACCCATGCTAACGTCATCGAGCACCAATCAAAGTTCAGAAAGAGTTTTCACTGTTTAGAACCTGCCACGTCTCCAAAGAGTTGTTGTCAACAACTCAACTGACTCAAACATTTATCTATGAATGAATTTGGTTCGCACATCTATACAAGCCTCATTTAATTTAAAGATATTTTTTTAGTTCTCAACGAATGGGAAGATGGGAGAGATCTGCACGGCACTAGGCTACTTGCAAAAGTGTAATCATTACTTTGAGCACAACAAGTATAAATAGGCAGCTCCCTCTCAAAAAATTAAGAGTATACACTCTTGAATTCAATAAAAAAAAATAGCAAAGACACACTACTAAAAAAAGACTGACTTGATATTCTCTAAGAACACTTAGAACATCAAGCACTTGTAATACCAGTTTGCAGTTTGCGACACCTTGTAATCTTGGCTAACGACCAGGAACATACTTATATAAAAGAATACAGTGGATGTAAGATTCGCTTTAAGTATTTGAACTACTGCAAACAGAACCTCACCCATTTACTCTAATCATTTCACGTATGACTTCTTAGCATTTTACACATGCAAACTCGTTAGTGTTAAAATCAAGCATCAACAATTGTTAATAAATAGTTGAATAGACACGGGGCATGAGTTGGGTTGTTAAATTGAATGACGTGGAAGACAATGCAAATCTACTGTAATTTTAAATGCAAGTGGTATTTAAATGTGTGTTTTTGTTAAGGTTGTAACTAGCCAACTTGGTTTAACACTGATCAACAGCTTGTTCGAAGAAATAGGGAGAACGATATTTTCCCACCCAAGGTTTGGGGAAACAACACTTTTCCATCCGTCAAGTTTCAAAATGACACTTCTCCATCCATGTTAAGATCCATCTGTCAAGTTTAATTGAGGATGTCCGAACCAGTTTACGTGCACCTCAATTAATCTCTCGGTCCCTTGGAACTACCAACCGGATAAGAGTTTCAATGGTAACCCCTATTAACAATCGAGGAGAGACTCGAACTTAAAACCTCTTGAGTAATATACCCAAAAGTTCTTATCGAATCACTTAACCATCTAGAGATAATTGATTTGCTTAATCTACCTGAATCGTTACAATGCTGTTTATTTTGAACAAAATGGGCTTTATATAGTTTAGCCATATGGCCATACAGTTTTAACTTCCCAATTATCAATGACTGACCCAACTTAAACAAAACCCGCTACTCAAAAAGAAATAATTTTATTGCCACACGACCTAAAATCCAATGCCTACATGTCAACCTCAAAAAGAAATAATTAACATAACCATATTAGTTAGTACACTAACCTACCATCACCTGTCTTTACTAGGGATTAAAATACCATGGGTCATAGCATCATCGGGCTTCATTGGCCCAGTTTCAAAATTGTCCAACCTCCAAGTCCAGGGTACGGAAACGCGGTCCGCAATAAAAGACAGCCCAACAAAAATATCCTGAGCCTGAGGTTTGCCAAAAATGGTTGGGTATGAGTAAGGCGAAGTGAGAGGTGACAAGTGTGCCGGTCTGCAGAGACATTCTTGAAGTCTTGAACAGAAAGTAGGAGAAGGAACTCGAAAAAGAAAGAGAATATTAAAAAAATAAATAAAAGTTAAAAAAAAATAAAAAAGTTATATGTTGATATGCATCAGTACCCGGCAGTAGCGTATAGTTGCCGCTATTATATGCCTTGTCTAAAGCAGTTGGCAGCCTTCACTACTCTCATCCCCCATCATTGTCATCGTCATTATCCCCGTCCTCACTTATCAACTCTCCCTCTATCTCCTAATTTTCATCTTCCCGCTAACCTCAACCGTCTCCTCACGGGTAACTCTTTATTTTACCGAATGGAGGTACGGCTATGTCTTTGTTTTTATTTTTATGTTTTGGCTGGCTATGAGATTTTTTTTTTATTTTTTTTTTATGATTGGATTGGACTCACATTCTTTTAGGCCTTGTTGTTGCTGGTTGAACATGGGTTTTGTTTTAGATTACATGAAATGATTGATTAAGTTTAGAATTGGTATTGGAATGTGGAAGGTTTTTAATTTCTAGAATCGGAGAATTTAGAGAAGTGGATGTGTTTTAACTGAAGAATACGTGTGAGCCTCATGAGGCTTTTGCTTTCTTCCAGTCTTGAGTAAAGAGAGAAGCTTTGGATTTAAAGAATTTTAATCTTAATCATTTCTTTAGCATTAGTTTAACAACAAACTGCTGAATTGTTGGATGACAAAAAATTATATAGTATGCATTAATAGAATTCAATGACTTGATTAGACTTTGTTATGCTTTTAGCTATCAGAGTTTTAACCATTTGTCGTGTTCATGGTCTGGTCTTCTGCTATCCTGAAAGTAGTCTAGAATTTGCCCTTAAATGCTAGGGACATGCGTAAAAACTATAAGAAGCAGTTTAAAGTAAGTCTTTTGATAATGGAAAAGGGAATGGAAATTATCAAGCGCTTGAACTTCCTTCTTCTAAATTCAAAAGTGGAAGTTCATCGTTTAGAAAATGGTGTATTCTCTTTTATGGGTTCATTCAAGGTGAGGAGTCATAGGTAGACCTGAGCATATTTGTGAAATGTTTTTATTGAAGTCAATAACTCGGGGTTTTATGAGTTTTCTTCAACTCGAAATGCTTTTAGGATTCTACCTAACTCTAGGTAATGAAGTCATCTATGGTGGGATTTGATCTTGTCAAAATTGACCATATTGTTGATCATTTCAGATAGTGGGATGTGGTTGTCTATGGTTGGTTAGTTTATATTAGCGGCCAAGTCTTTCTTGAAATTTCATTTGTCATGGACTTGTTGCCAATATAGTTTGTTGGAAATCTTTGATATCTGCATTTTCAGGGAAGTTCACCTTAAGTTGTCTGGGCATTCTGTGTTGTACTGAACATTTTCATTGGTGCTTATTGCACAATCTTTAATGATGCTGTCACATTACACACATTCCCAAGGGAAATAGACCCCCAAGTTCAGCTCATATCCACTCCTATAGTGGAGGCTATGCACGAGAATAAATTTACTTTGACAAGCTTGAGTTCAAGTTCACTTGAAGAGGTTGATGCATCTTGTGGACATTACCTCGTAAATAGTTGTGGTTATGGACATACATACATAGGCATTGTAATGTGGTGCTAGCTGCAAAATTTGGTTCAAGATTGTACTTCTTCGTTTCTCTTATTCCATATAATCTTTCCCATACAGCCAGCAGGTTTCTTCCCGTTTTGCTAAAAGATTAAACTTTTCATCAGTTCTAACTCACTTTATGGCCTTTTTATTCTTGTTCAAGAGTTAAATAAAATTGCATTGAAACTGATTTTTTTATTTTTTTTTATTTTCCAGCGATTCTGGAGTGGTAGTAACATCAACAAGAATAAAGAAATGGTAGAGCACCTGCGGCATTATGGAGTTATTACATCAAAGAAGACAGCTGAAGTAATGGAAACTATTGATAGGGCTCTATTTGTACCAGATGGGACCCCACCTTATGTTGATAGCCCAATGGCTATAGGTTACAATGCCACTATTTCTGCACCTCATATGCATGCAATGTGCCTCCAATTATTGGAGGAGAATTTGAAACCTGGCATGCACGCTTTAGATGTTGGTTCAGGTGTTTTAACTTTCCTATGTTGCATCTCAATTTATATCAGCTTCCATGCCTATATTCCAAAAGCATATATGTTCTTGAAGTCGTATTTAGCTTCTGTAACCGCATAATTTTAAAATGGTAGTATCTTTGAATATATAAATTTGGAGTGGAGGAGGGTTTAATCTTCTTCCTTTGTGGGTGTATCAATTAACTGGGGCACTCAATAACATGCATATAGTTTTGGCAGTTTTTACTATAGTTTAAATTATCTGGATCACCACACCGAATATAATGGTAGTTAAGAGTAGTTTGACTACCTTGCAGTTTTCAGATCTTGTGCTGCAATGATTTTATAATTCTTTGTCATGTTTGTGTAGGAACTGGGTACTTGACAGCATGCTTTGCAGTCATGGTCGGACCACAAGGGCGTGCAGTAGGTGTGGAGCACATTCCCGAGTTGGTGAATTCATCAATCAAGAATATTGAAAAAAGTGCTGCGGCTCCATTACTGAAAGACGGTTCTCTCGCAGTGCATGTTGGTGGTATGTTTCCAGGAGCTCAGAGTTTTCTTGATATAATTGTTTTTTCTGTTTGCCTCTCTGTACTAATGCAGTAACTTATAATTACACCATAAAAATGCATTTGAGTTTGATGATCTGGAAATATGTATGTATTTTCATTGTGAAAAAAATTAAATAACTCTGATGGTTTAATAGCATCTGTAACATGAGATATAAGTGCTAGGCTATATGGACATAATATATGATTTTCATTTTTGTCCACTTGCGAGAGGAATTTATTATCTTTGGTTTATTTATAATCAATTTGTTCACTTTTTGAATGTGAGTATCTGTCGCTTATATGATAGATGGAAGACAAGGCTGGCCGGAGTTTGCACCATATGATGCTATTCATGTTGGAGCAGCAGCAGCGGAAATCCCACAAGCACTTATTGATCAGTTGAAGCCTGGAGGCAGAATGGTAATTCCAGTTGGTAATATATTCCAGGATCTGAAGGTAATAGATAAGAACTCAGACGGTTCAATTAGTGTTAGGAGTGAAACTTCTGTTCGTTATGTTCCTCTGACCAGTCGAGATGCCCAGTTGCAAGGCAGTTAAGGTTGATTTGACCTTGACATTAAGATGACAGGCAAGTCTCTGGCCAAAGGAACAGTTTGGTCTTGTAAGGATCAATTAGATCCAGGAGTTCGTCTCTTTATATACATATATATAGTATGCTACTTCCACTCAAGTATTTATAAGCTGTCTTTTCACTTATGTACCACTTGTGGCTTGTAAATGATCATACTTAGTGTTAATCTTGTTGAACCTGCAGACAATAAAATGCTAGCTTTTGCGCCCAATACTATTCCTAGTGGATTGAATTACAACCTATACTTTAGCTGAAATTTTGTATTAGTTCTGATGCTCAAAGCAAATATTAAGTTCAGTGATAAACAAGCTTCAGAAAAAGTTACATTCGTAAACGAGAGCAAGAAACTAACATTGGACAGTGTTCCCTAAAACAGGCTAAGTAGCACTCTACTTCAATGAGAAGCTTGTATCATTTAAGGGAAAATGATGCTGAACACCAAAGATTTATTTTTGAAATTAATCTGGTCCAATAAACTTTATTAATAATAATAATTATAATGAAACTTGTACTGTTGTGCATGCTCCCATCTATGTAAACCCTCTTTTACGCATGAATCATTTGAAATGTGTTAGTAGATGGCATTGGCAGTTCTGGAAAAATGGTACTTGGCAAAAATGGGCAACATAAATTGTTAGGTCAATATTAGTCTGAGACATGACAGTTTTTCCAGGAGAATAATTAAAATAAGTAAGAACAGTATAGATCCAACATCAACACTGAAAACAAATACCTTTGTAAAAAAATTATCACAGTCAATCATATTTTACAGAGTATGTGACAAATTTCAAAGAACCAGAGGTACAGAAACTTCTACTTTTGCTCCATATGAAAAATTTCCATGAACCAGCTGGAAGAACCTCAACACTGTAAATCTCATTCCAAAATAGTTAAGAAAACAAAGCAAAAAGGAAATGAGGGAGAAAGGAAGTAATCAAAAGAAACGGCCACTAGACACCTATGTCATCTCTTAGGTTAAAAGGAGCGCCTTTGTCTTTCCTCGGCAACATTTACTCTGATTGCCCTCCCATCCAGATTCTGAAAAACCCATGAAAAATATTATCATACAACAAAAAAAGAAACCAGAAAGATATTGTGATACATCAAATTATTATCAACTGCAGTCCATAGTATCAAATTATATGGAACTTAATAAAATTTAGAAACCGAAGTAGCCTGTCTCAGTATAATCTTAAAACAGTGTCCTCTACCCAAAGTAATATATTATCTGAATTTCTATATTATAATTATTTAAATAAAAGAAAACACTCTTATGATACCTGTCCATCAAGAGCAGCAATGGCATCATTCAATTCAGTTTCGTTGGACATGGTTACAAAGCCAAAACCACGTGAACGACCAGTCTCCCTGTCATAAACTACCCGTGCACTTACGACCTTACCATGTTCACTAAAAACTTGCTCTAGACGAGCATTATCCACTTCCCAAGGTAGGTTGCCCACATAGATTCTAAAAGCAGGTTCAAATACACGAGGGGGGCGTTCTGGCTCTGTTCCTCTGGGAGCTGCCTTATTTACAGTCAGTAGCCTTCCATCTAAATCCTGTTCAAAATACAGAAGCAACAGTCAAATACTTATGTGTTGTGTGTATGTGTGGTAGATTAATGACACTTCATGTTCTGCAAAAGACTTTGATATTGTTAGACACATTGTATAAAAGCACTATTAAAGGTTGAAGTTCTATCATACATCAATAATAAATGCACCTTAAGAATGATACAGATCAAATATAATCTCAACTATTCAAATTGTTTTGATTTAATGGTCAATAATTAATGTCACAAAATTCTTCCAATGTCTTCTATGGAAAAACTACTCTAAATTCATTTTTTAGAGTAATAACTAATCAGATATATATTATTTTGATACTTTAAATCCCCAAACTTTCATATGAGTTTACTGAGTTCTAAAGCAAGAATATATCTTATCTGGGATCAAATAATTCAACAGACTAAAATATGCAAGTTTTAAAAAGGAGTAAAGGTTCCTGATGGATATTCATCTAACATCTCACGATGTGTAAGTGTTAAAGAGTGCAAGATAAATGGTCTCAAGAGCCATGATTCTCATATTCTTTTAGAACAACTTCTTCCTATGGCAATACATGGAATGTACCAAATATGTGTATGATGCTATAATTGAATTGAGCATTTTTTTTTTTGGAGGTTATGCTCAAAAGTGTTGAAAAAAGAGCATTGAATCTCAAATTGTAAAACCTTGCAAATTAGAAAGAATCTTTCCCCCAACATGTTTTGATGTTATGGTGCACTTAACTGTTCACCTGCAACTGAAGCAAAAATTGCGGAACCTGTATAATGATGGATGTATCCTATCGAGATGTAAATTTTGTTTTCATTATTTCATATATCTATTTTTGTTTATAAGTGGGTGGTTATAATAAATATTAATTAGCTGAAGAAACATTTGTATAGGTTCTTAGGAAAATTGAAGCATTATGTTTGTAATAAAAGTCAACAGAAGGTTCTATTGCAGAATGGTACATTGTGGAAGAAAGTCTATATTTTGCTCAAGATATTTAAATTGTATTGAAACTAAGCCTGAAGTTGAGAAGAATTTTGAAGGTAGTAATGTTGATTCAGGCAAAGGGTTATCTATATTTCATTAGTATGGATATCCTTTAAGAAGGGATAAGTGTAGGTCAATTGAAAATAATGAATGGAAACAAGTCCATCTTATGTGTTGAAAAATTGTTAAGAAGTGCAACCTTTTTACGGTATGATTGTTTCCTTGTTCATTTTTTTTTTTGGTGCTTAGTTTTTTTTTCTTTTTTTTAATGTACTGTTTCATTGTTGGTTCTTACTTTATTTTCAAATTGTTTGCAGTGAACATAGCAAGGCATGTAGGAGGATTTATGAATGGTTTTATCATCGAGTAAGGTTTCTTTTGTGAAATTATTTATGCGCATTTTGACATTTAATTCACTCTTCCTTCTTGTCTTCTTTTTAATAGGTTGTACAATTGTATAAAGAAGAGAGTACATATGTAAAGAAGATCTATATCTTTGTCTTGTGGTCTTTTTATGGTATATAAAGGTTTTCAGGCTATATCATAAATGGTTTTAGGTTTCACAACTAAGCAACTTGAAGGAAAAAGGGTAAAGCAAAATAGTGGTGTTGGTAAAAGGAATGGTGAAGAATAAAAATATAGATTATTATGGAGTTCTTAATGAATAATTGAACTTCAATATTTGAATAAAAAACGGATTGTGTTATTTAAATGTGATTGGTGGGATGTTCATGTGTTTGGAAGAGGTGTGAAGAACGAAAGTATGGTTTTGTTAGTGTTAATACAACTCAAAAATTATATACGAATGAACCATTTGTGCTTGCATCTCAAGCACAACAAATATTCTATGTTAATGATAGTTCCAATCCTATTGGCTTGTTGTTTTAAAAGGTCGTCCGATAGTTGTTATGACCTACCATGTGGTGAAAAATATCTATTAATGAAGAAGTCTTCCAATAAGACAACTCGGAAATAGATCCTCAAATTACAAATAGTTTGAAGATGATGCTGACTTAATCAATTCGAAGAGACATGAGATATCTGGTTGTGCGTTGTTGATGATGGTCATAGGTTGATGAACAGAGAGATGATGAAGATTTGCTCATATAGATTATAGATTGTTTGTTACATTTTTTTAATCTTTCATATTATATTTGTTTGAAAGCTTCGAGATTTTTGATACAGTTTTTATTTTTAAATGATTGTACGACTTGAGTTCAATCTTTATTTTACAAATTATGCTTTCAATTTATAAGTTTTATGGTTATACAATCAATTAATTTGCTTTGCATATTAATACTTTGTGAAGTGAGACAGGTTTTGAAAATATTAATGGTGTTTTGGTTATTTTGATATATGCACAAAGTTTATATTAAAACTAATCTTCCAGACAACCAAATATTCTTTTATCAAACGTATAAATAATTTAAATAGTTTATTAACATGTCATCTCATCATTTAAAACATACATACAAATTCATATATAAAATATGAACATTACCAACTTTTATAATATATCACTCATACCTAAAATCATTATATTTTATAAAGTGTTAGTTTTAAATCATCATAGAAAAGACAAAAACCTGAAGATCCTTTAAAATACAATTTTTTTTACAAAGTCCACTTTTAGCTCGCTAAAGAGTTCTTTTAAGTTAGTTATTGGTTTAAGGTTCTATTTACTATTGACCTTAGTGGTGTGATTAACACTATATTTGACTATAATTATTTAATTCATAAGTAAAAAAATATATTACTACTAGGATAAATCAGAATATTTATAACTGCATACCATAAAGATTGTAGCAAATTAATTTTCACATTCTTTATTGCACAAATTCAATTAATTTATAGCTAAACACACTATAGCTATATATTAAAACTAGTAGCTAATAATGATACTAAAATGTGTCACTACCATGAAAATAAAACTTGTATAGCTAGATACCTTAATTAGCTACAAATTTTAAAATTTTATAGGTAATGACCCATAATAGCTATATAATTAAACTTGTAGCTAATAATGACACTATATGCCATGTACATAAAATGTTATAGCTAAATACATTAATTAGCTACAAATCTCAAATTTTATAGTTAATGCACAAATAATAGCTATATAGTTAAAACTCGTAGCAAATAATGATACTATATGTCATGTAAATGAAAATTTATAGCTAAATACATTAATTAGCTACAATGTTTTACCATAGCTAATACATTGTAGCTAAATGAATAACTATTGCCACAATTTTAATAAGTTAAAGTAATAGATGAATATTAGCTTTGAGAGAGAATTCTTATCACTAAAATTATTTCAATTAGCTATAAATATTGACTTTATAGCTGAAATATGTATTTGCTACAATTTTTCTTTTTGTAGCTAATTTTCATAGCTATAAGTGTATATTGTTGTAGTGATTCTCTAAGAACACTTAGAATATCGGTTGCAGTTCGCGACACCTTGTAATCATGGCTAATGACCAGGAACACTTATATAAAAGAATACAGTGGATGCATGATTCGCTTTAAGTATTTGAACCACTGCAAACAGTACCTCACCAATTTATGTAATCATTCACGTATGACTTCTTAGCATTTACACATACGAAATCGTTAGTGTCAAAATCAAGCATCACATTGTTAATAAATAGTTGAAAGACACGGGGCATGAGTTGGGTAGTTAAATTTAATGACATGGAAGGCAATGCAAATCTACTGTATTTTAAATGCAAGTGGTATTTAAACATGTGTTTTGTTATGTAACTAGCCAACTTGGTTTAACATCGATCAATGACTTGTTCGAAGAAATAGGGAAGACGACATTTTCCCACCCAAGGTTTGGGGAAACAACACTTTTCCATCCGTCAAGTTTCAAATGACAATTCCATCCATATTAAGACCATCCATCAAGTTTAACTGGGATGTCAAACCAGTTTACGTGCACCTCAATTATCTCCCGATCCCTTGGAACTATCAACCGCCTAAAACTCTAATGATAACCCTATTACAATGAGGAGAGACTCAAACTAAATCTCTTGAGTAATATATCTAAAGTCTTTATTGAATCACTTGACCGTCTAGAGATAGTTGATTTGCTTAAACTAACTGAATCGTTACAATGTTGATTTGAACAAAGTGGGCTTATATAGTTTAGCCATATGCCCATACACTTTTAACGTCCCAATTATCAATGATGACCCAACTAAACAAAACCCGCTACTCAAAAAGAAATAATTTTATTGCCACACGACCAAAATCCGATGCTACATGTCGACCTCGACAAATTTTTAACACCATATATATATACAGTACATATTACATAACCATATTAGCTACTTAGCTAGTACAATCTACCATCACCTGTCACTAGGGATTAAATAACATGGGTCATAGCATCATCGGGCTTCATTGGCCCAGTTTCAAAATTGTCCAACCTCCAAGTCCAGGGTACGGAAACGCGGTCCGCAATAAAAGACAACCCAACAAAATACCTGAGCCTGAGGTGTGCCAAATGGTTGGGTATGAGTAAGGCGAAGTGAGAGGTGACAAGTGTGCCGGTCTGCAGAGACATTCTTGAAGTCTTGAACAGAAAGTAGGAGAAGGAACTCGAAAAAGAAAGAGATATAAAAAAATAAATAAAAGTTAAAAAAAAAAAGTTATATGTTGATATGCATCAATACCCGGCAGTAGCGATAGTTGCCGCTATATATGCCTTGTCAAAGCAGTTGGCAGCCTCACTACTCTCATCCCCCATCATTGTCATCGTCATTATCCCCGTCCTCACTTATCAACTCTCCCTCTATCTCTAATTTTCATCTTCCCGCTAACCTCAACCGTCTCCTCACGGGTAACTCTTTATTTTACCGAATGGAGGTACGGCTATGTCTTTGTTTTTATTTTTATGTTTTGGTGGCATGAGATTTTTTTTTTTTTTTTTTTTATGATTGGATTGGACTCACTTCTTTAGGCCTTGTTGTTGCTGGTTGAACATGGGTTTTGTTTTAGATTACATG